ATCTTCAGGACAACGTTATCACGGCCGTCAGTGGGTCACATCATGCTCAGCTTTACTTCGTAAGTAACTGAACCAATAACTACTAAGCGCTCTGCGTCACAGGTGGTAGCCTTAGAACCCAGTTTGCTTGTTTGGTTTTTTTTTAGGTCAAAACGTTGACTTAAGCCAGTGCGTACTGTTTTCTTAGAAAATGAAAGCAGACAACAACCCTACCGCTGTGCCCGGTACCAGTGCCTAACTACAACCTGGCTATCAGCAGTCGTGTACGGGTTGAGGGTACTGCCAGTTCATCTGCAGTTACTCATGCTCGAATTGGTGACTTTTCAGATTACAAGGTAGACTTCTGAACCAAGTGACCGTTAACTTGTGGGTTATCAGAATCGACCACGTCGATGGTCAGATACCTTATCAATTTGGCTCATTCGGAAAACCTGTAGCACCCTTACATGTGTATCCTTACATCCAACTCGGTGAATCTTGCTTCTGATCCCTTTTGTCGATCGACTCCATTGTGCTGTTGCTCACCGGGGTCTAATTTAAACACTAAATTTATGTACGTTAGCTGGGAGTAACTCTGACACCATAAGTACCCTGAACCATTGATTCGCCATTCTCATAAGTGCGAAGTATTCAAGCTCCGTCACTGAGACCCAAGTCCGGCCCAGAGATGCAGGACTGACCATCTCGGAGCGCGCGCAATATCATGGAGCGTCACTGTTGATTATTTTGACGTAATGTGCGAAGGTTGATGAACGCACTGTGGAATTGTATATTTTGCCTCAATTTTGTCACTGTATACTGCTCCTGCTTCCCACATACTACGAATTATCTTGCGACCGAACTTCAGGGAGCGCGTACACCAGTCCGCAACTCATTTTGTCCTTTGGTTCAACTTTTTCATACTATTGATGTCTAGCAGGATCGGTGATTAGGTGTGTTTAGTATTTTCTCTTTCGGATTCATCTCAGCAAGATACCAAGGGTTTGGTTAAAGGATGAACTTAAAGTACTTCTCTTTCTCGATACTCCGTTTGTCTGGCGCCACACACACACACTATACACGTTAGCTAGAGGTGGGAAACACCTCAGCTACTGTGCCGCAATACCTAAAAGAAAAAGAGGGAATAAAATGCAACAGGTGCAAGCCAGCTGAGCTACCGGTAACGGATGGGCATCGTTCCGGTAAGCTACCTGCCGGCTACTATGCAGCAGAAAAAAATAATTTGCTATGCAAAATCATAAAATGCTAAATAATTAGATCGTGGTTGGAGGGCAAGACTAAGAGGGATGGGGTGGGACAAAGAAACTCACAGTACGAACGCAACTGAGGTCGGCTCCTAGCCATATCTACAATTGTATCCAGCCAAACGGGTTCATCGTCTTTCGGACCTCAACCGGGAGACCGAGACGCTCCAACTGAGGCCAGCTTCGTAGTGAGGGCCTTCATTCCTCTCGACCAAGTCATCGCTTGGCCACCTCTCCTCTTCTTCCATTCACACCTCGGGCGCGCAAACAGTGCACCTCGCGGGAGTCGGTGCGCTGGTATGATTAACACGTGGCCGAGCCCATCGGAGCCTGGTGCGTGAAATAACGGTTCTGAGCGGTTCCTTTCCTTTTCCTGTGCAGTAAACAAGGCCTCGAACACGCTCGTTTCTCACGCGGTGTTGCCACCTAATGTGAGCTAAATTGCCAAGGGACCGGTGGTTGAACTTAAGTAGCCTCTTTATGTCCGCCGATCTTAGGGGCCAGGTTTCACAACCGTACAATAGGGTCGAATGTACCCCTGCATTGTACATTCTACCCTCCAGGGTGAGAGTGATGTCGCGCCGGCGCCATAAATGGCGAAGGTTAGCAAAAGCGCCTCGAGCTTTTGCTATACGGTTCGTGATCTCATCTTCCACGGGCGCTGATACAACTTCCCAGGTAGTTGAATTTCCGAACGACTTCTAGCTGATCTCCACCAAGAGTCAGCAAAAGTGGCGGTCCACACCAATCTTGGACGAACGCTTTGCACTTCGACGGTGTAAAGCAAAGCTCGAAGCGGCTGACAGACAGTGCTAATCTGTCCAGTGCCGCTTGGCACGTCTACGAGCTGTCACAGATGAGGGCAATATCGTCAGCATACTCCAAGTCAAAAAGTCGTTCTCCTGGGTCGTGTCCTGTGAACGCGATTTCCATGACTTCGTCAACAGCGAAGTTGAAGAGGAAAGGTGACAGCGGGCATCCTTGTCCCGCACCGCTGGAGATATTGAAGGGCAACAACAGCTTGCCGTAAGCCCTAACTCTGCCTGAGCTACGCGCGTATAATCGGATAATATTTACATATTTCTCAGATACACCTTTCCTGAATAGACAATTCCAAAGTACACGTCTATCCACCGAATCGAACCCACGTTTGATATCGAAGAACAGGACAACAGTGGGCCGCCAATATATGTGACGGTGCTCCAACAACTGACGCAAAGTGAAGATGTGGTCAATACAGCCACGGCCTCGACGAAACCCGTCTTGCTCTTCACGAATATAGCTTCCACAAGTGGAAGTCAGTCTGTGAAGGGTTATAGAGGCGAGCAATTTGGAGGCGATGGAGATCAGACTGATTCCTCTATGGCTGCCGCTTTCCGAGCGCGAGCCGCGTTCGAAGATGGGAACAATAACGGAGCGGCTCCAGTCAGTTGGGACAGTCTCCTGCTCCCACAGTTTCACTAGTAATTCATGTAAAGTATCAACAAGAGCAGAACCTCCGAATTTGAAGAGGGCTGGAGGAAAATCATCAGGTCCCGCGGCTTTGTTCAACTTCAACAGCCCGATCTCACGTTCAACTTCTGAGCAAGAGGGTGGATGCAAAGGGACAGCCCACGGAGCAGGGCGATCACTGGCCGGCGAAGAATCGAACAATTCTAGCCGATTAAATTGCTTTTCAAAATGCTCAGCCCAACTCTCTAGCGTTTTGACAAATTGTGGATAGGCTGTCCACTATCGTCACGTATAGTTTCACTAACACCAGGTCTCCTGCTGCCCGTTTCCCGTATCAGCCGGAATAAGTTACAATGGTTACCAAGGACAGCGCCTATTTCCATCTCTGATGCACGATGAGACCACCAGGATTCGCGGTCTCTCTTCAGGCTAGCACGGAGTTTTGCCCGGAGCTCTTTGAAAGTTTCATTGTGTTCGCTTCCAGCCTTAATGTGCCGACGAGCATCGATAGGTTCCAGAGACTGTGAAGAGACTTAATGTCAGTGATGGCGATTAGACTTACCACATGAGGCTTTGCCTGCTGCTAGTAAGGATTGGTGACTATGAGACCAGTGAGCGCTTACTCAACTCGCATGACAGCGTACTTCGATACGCATTCAGAACAGCTCGTTTCGCCTGTTGGCTGGTGTCAATGCGCTCACAACGTCGTCTTGGGCGTCCGCCAAAACGATTCCTCAGGTCAGCACATCCAAGTGCATGATCAGTGTCCACACCTGTACTCCAAATCGAGCGACAGTTCTGGACGCAGCCTCTCCATCGGTAACTTATCGCAATGTGATCGATTTGCGTCCATTGCTGGTTCGAGGCTGATGGGCGCCAAGTCACCCTCCGGCGGGTGCTGTGTCGGAAGTCAGTGCTCGCCAGAAATAAGCGAGCATCTTCACACAAATGAAGTAACCGTTCACCGTTATCATTACGGGAGCCTACCCCATGTTGGCCGCCCAGATGCAGCTCATCAGTGGATTATTTGCCAACTTGAGCGTTTAGATCCCCAGCCAGCACAACAATGTCCGTGTTTCTTCTCTGGCGGAGGAGTTCGTTCATTTAGCGATAGAAGTCGTCTTCTACCAAATCATCGCTAGCGTTTGTGGGTGCATAGGCAGGGATGACGAATAGACACCTATTAGTCCCGCGTGACTTCTAAGCTTAGAACGCGCCAGCCAATCGGATTGCACACATCCGGCTACTGATTGGAATCCAATCAACCAGAGCAGCTTCAGCCCGGGGACTCAGGACAATACCAACACCGACTTGGCCGGTGCTCGGAGCTGCATCGTCACCGGGTAGGCGCAATGGGAAAGGGCTGCTGGTGTCACCTGAAGGGGATCGCAGTTAAGCACAGAGCTCGAGTCTTGCAGGCGAGTCTCCGATAGGCAGCAGACATTAATGGAGAGGGTCTCTCAAGTTCGGGCAAGTGCTACCTGTCGACCGATTTGTAGCAATGTGCGTACATTGAGGCATGCCAATCTGAAGGAGCATCGAGGGCTCCAAATGGAAGTCGATGAACTGGGCCTGGCCCTTTGGTGGGATATGGGCTTATCGAGAGGACAGGAATGACGCTCCGCGTTCGCATGTGAGTTGAAACTAGAGCGTAAAAGCCTAGCAAGGGAAGGTGGGGGAGGGCCAGGAATTGGGAGGTTGAAGACTGGGAGGATAAAAGTGAAGCTGGAAAGGGACGGTAGCATGGGAAGGCTTGAGCAGTAGCATCCGAACCCGTATCCACCCTGCCCAATGCAGCAGATAGGGCACCGTTTATTATCCCGTGCGGTGGCCAGAGCACAGGAAATTTTTTGAGAAAAGATTCATAGGTTTACGTGAGCAGAATACTGTCAGGTTGCACAGGCCTTGACAGGAGAACAATTAGGGTTCTCAACCAAAGCCTTTGGTTCAAAAACCTGACCGCAAGGCAGAGGGTTTGGCGTTGGGCTACAAGGAGTCAGTTTTAAGGAATAAGGTGTCACCCTCATTCCAACCCCCAACCTGGAGAACCAGGAGCCTGAGTTTGTCTGGCCTTTAACCATTGACCAATCTGGTATGAGTGACTCTGGAGGTGCAAAAGCACCCCCCAGCATAGCTCAATGGATCGCTGAGTCACACAAACCATCGCACATCAGTAAGGTCCAGCCTCATTGTCTGGCGCCACGAGACAGTGTTTTTACACCCATCCTTTCCTTGCAGAGGTCCACCACAGAATCTTTTGTTTGACTGTGTCTATATTGCTATTCTTTTCCCATTTCTTTATAGAGACAGAGCAGAGCTGCAATATTTGAAGGTAGCTCAGATGCATCACCTTTTTGGAGTGGATTACTTTCCAATCGTTGTAAGTTCTACCGTTCAAAGCAGGTTTGATTTGGCATTCATTTTGCTTATGTTTGTCAACACGGTGTATTTGATTAGCTTCTAGTTTTGTCTACTCGGACATCTTGCTCCACCCGGTAAAACTGGAGTGTTATCTTATGATTTCCGCTGTTCATGCAACAGTCTAACACGTACAAAACAACAGTTAAAAATGTCCCTGCCCGCTTATTGTGCCCCTTCGTGCCATATGTGGATATCAATTTGCTGTTTTCATCATCCTCGTTGTTGTCTTCATGTTCATCATCATCATTGACGACTGCACTTCAGTATGGGTGGGTGACCAAAAGCACCTGCCTTTGGCCGAACCTCAAGCTGAAGATGTCGACACCCTGCTGTCACAAACGGCTGTCTGTCGTGTGAAAATACTGCCACAAACACCTGACTGCACGCATGTTTCAGTTTAGCTATACGTCGAAACTGCCAGGCTCACTCTGTACTCGAGTTCATATTAATGACTCACTTTCTCTGAACCACAGAGGACCCAAATGGATATTCTACTTCTATTTTAGCCTATCTGTCACTGCTCCGGCACTGTGGCACACTTGGTCTGTCCTTGAGCTAGAACCCTTTGGTGGTTAACTTCAACAATTCGCTTGTCACTTCAAATCATCTAGGCGCCTGATTTCTTACCACATTATCTTACTGTGCTGCGAATACCGGTTGACACTCGTGTATGGTCAAATGTTTGTTCCATTGTACAGCTCTCAATCGTGATACTTGACTCTGACACGACGAGAGACTATGGTCACATACTGTACTTTTTCTCTCCTGTTGCGGGCCACCACTTCTCAAGTTACACCTTCACGTTGATGCGTTTGATGCTTTCTTCCCTTCAAATTTGCTAATATACTACGTCGTTTCTGCTATGCATCTCTGACCTTGGTTTCTTGCACCGAGATGTACATCCTTTTCTCCTGTTCACCACCTGACTTGAGCTGAACCCCGATTATCGCCATTCTCACCTGGGTGTTACCATGCTTTCTATCTTCGGTATATCACTGGCAATCTGCAACCCACCATCTCGTATTAAACCACCTCATGACTTGTCGGATCGGTGGGTCTTTTCTTTTGAAATCCTATTTCAGCCACTAATTTTAAACTATTTCAAGTACCCTGTAGTGCTTCAAAAGACCCCACATGCAATTACGGAACCTTATGATATCTGTCCTTTATTGCTATTAGTTACGCATTTCTACTGCGTTCTATCCGCCTGGCTGACTCGCCTTGTCCCTAGCATCCACTAGAACTTGTCGCTCGCCGTGCTAATAAAGGCTGCTTGTTTGCGTTCCAGCCTAAAATCTAGAGTCTCTGCGGATTTCGTTTTACTCCCTCCACAGTTCATTATCAGTGCGACTGAAACGTAGTGTGATGCTTCACATTCCTCACGAATCTATTGGGCTGTCTACGATGTCGTTCTAGGGTGCCTCGAGAGATTATCCTACGAGATTGATCAATGGTTAGGGATTACTCACTTTCCAATTGAATGATGGAAGCGGAGTGACATTCATCTTTTCTAAGTCAAACCATTTCTTGTTGGATGGATCATTTAAAAGTGAACCTGCCCAATGCGTCTTGCTTTTTTCCGTTTTCATCATCACTCTGGAATCCGACCAGCGCATTTCAGATTTTAGCTGCTTTTCACTTATTTGTAATATCCCGTACTGTATTTTTTTTCATCCGCCAGTGTGTCCGTATGAAGTATCCGCGTACCATAACTCTGTCACGTTATCTTACTCGAAGCCAACTGACTCCTTGGCATGTTTGGGTAAGTGACGTTTCCTCACCATGCACTCCATCCAGTATAGTGTCCTCAATGCGACGGTTGAAATAATTACTGATTTATCGACAATCGTGTTTATAGCTATTTTTGATCCACTCTCAACGGCATTGCTCCATTCTGATTAGAGTAGTGATAGTTTCGACGTGTACTTGTGCCCCCTCCCCCCGGATGGAGTTTCGAATCTTTCCGATCCCACCATTAGATTTGTGGATAACGGTTTCCGTTGTCCATGCAGTTAAATTTCCACTAGTGCTTCCAATCGCCATTGCTTGTCACTGAATAATGCATCCGGATCGAATCTATGTGTATGCTTTTTCACGCGCGTCCTAGTTGGATCAGCGGTTGGACCACTCGTCCCAAGCGCCTCTAGGTGCTTCACTCTTGAGTATGTCTGCAGCCGCTTGATTTTTTGAATGTTTTGGTTGAATTGTATCCTCCATAAATGGATGAAACGCAGCGCATTCTCTTTTTGGAAAATATAACCGAAGATTTTACAGTGTATAACGTTACAATCCTCGACGTTGCTTTGTCCTTCTCTATTAGTCTGTCAATCAGAACAGCCGCCTCCTTGTTACATTACTTGGAATGTTTTTAGAAAATGTCAAGCGACTTCGCTAGAAAGGAAGCGTTTCACAAACCTTTAACCTATGCCTTAATATGTCTATTGTGGTAATCTCCACATATGTTCTCTTTTGATCGTACCTCTACTGTTTCTTCGTCAGCTGTCCGTAGTCTTCTTTCTTTCCATCGCTATTTGCTTGCCTGATTCCGAAACGGTATGCTTACCTTGGGTTTCACTTGTTTAAAGCCACAATAGATATCACGCACTCTTTCACAATCTGCTCTTCAACAGTCTTGCGACTATGTCCTATGGCTAAGTCCAACTAACTCACATTGCTTCTATTGAACTAGCAATGTGTATACATCTAAACGTTGTCCATTCGAATAGACCAAAGCGAGAATAGGACTCATCGCCTACCCGCCAAACCAGTGTTATTCTTCTGTGCCGCACAACTGAGCGCTTCTTTCCTACATTCTCTTCTGTATATCTGCTTCCTCGAACCGATAATATCGGTACTTCGAATGACCCTGAATTCACCACTTTGGTGTCACTGAATCTGCTCACAATATCTCTTTGATTGTGGAAGATTTCGGTGTTGCCCCCCCCCCATCACTGCAATCCACTTTTAACCGTTGTGTCAAGCGCTGCTCGCATAATTCAATGGCCTCGAAATTATTTTAATGTTACTAATGAGTAGGAGGAATTTTTAATTGTGACGTAAGATAATGTTATGTAGTATAAAATGTAGTCTCCTAGTTTTAAATGCTATTGACGTAGCGTCTAGTGAGAGGAAGTCATGACCTTCGGAGGCTAGCCACTGTCATCTGTTAAGGTAGTAACCTGCGTGGCAGTGGAAGCTAGGTCGTGCTATATCCCAGTTAGTTTGCAAATTGTGTAGCCCAGCTGCCGTCCCCCATGGCTAAGTGGCTTAAGCTGATGACTAGTTGGCATCTGTCTCTAGCGGTCATGAGTTCGACTCCCAGTAGGGAACCGAGGGAATGCGCACCACTGACGAGCCCCAGTAGGGCGAAACGCGTCTGGTACTTTTCCGGACTAGGCTGTGCTACGTAGCTTGTAAGCAGCTGAGACGAAAACATTACAATTATGGCAATGGTCACCAATCACTGTGTGCTTAGTTCCACTCCTAGCTCAGACTATCGCTACTTGCTGAGTCCAAACAAGGCAGGAAGCATGTCATGGAGTGCAGTATTCGTAGAACGCAACACCACAATACCCTCCACTCCGGATACGGTCCCAGTGGTCAGAATGACAGAGGTTGACTTCAAAGTTAACCGACGCCACAACTGAAATTACTTGTCACACACGGCGAGTGCTTTAAAACACGAGAATCGCTTTGCTTGTTTGCAGCATGTGAAGCGCGAAGCCTTTATTCTTCTTTTTCTTTACCTGATCACGCTTTAACGCGAGCGCGACATTCACTGACTGCTTCGAACGTCCTTGGTACGTGTGTTTGACTTAATTGCCATTTCGAACGCTCAAGTCTGGAATTCATTCTCTGACATTTCTGTCTGTATCGAAATTAGCGTATTCTTTCATACGAAGCGGTAGGCTCTCCAAACACTCTACCGTTTTTTCTTTTGATGCTGTTTATTTGATTGAATGTCAATGGGCTGGGTTAATTATGGTCCGGTCATTGGGATTTTGCATCACTCTTGTTCTCTAGTGCATACAAGATAAGGCTACCCTAGACCCACATGCGACGCATTCCTATCTTATTTCGCTCTCACTGTGTGTGTGTGCACGCATTCAAGTGTCTTTCTATGTTGTAGGACAAGCACCACACCAACGCATGGCTTGGTGTTACTGCTGCCGGAATTCAACTCTATGGGCGAAACAGACAGGAACAGCCTCGTTATACCTTCCAGTGGAACATCATCAAAAACGTTTCGTATCGTGAGCGCAAGGTAATCTCCGTTTGGCACCCCGTTTTGCATTGGCCATTTATATAACGTGTTCACATTCCAACTGCACTCTGTCTTTGAACACCGGAACCTATATTGTTAAAGCGAGTGCCTAGCTTGTAGTTCTCAGAGGTTTTCGCCCCTTTGCATTCTAACCTGCGATTTTCGACTTTCTAATCACCTCTCAGTTCACTATCAAGCTCATTGCTAACTGGCGTTGCTGCAACAAGAGCAGTATGACGCCCTCCTCGATCACAGCGGGCGCTTCTGCTCATCCAGTCACTTCCATGGAGAGTGGTACTGTTCCTCAGCCAGTTTCTCAACGTCCTCGACAGTCCAATCGGAGCGCAATTGGTCGCAGTCCTGTGCTTAGTTCCACTGGTCCACTACTTTTGGCAGACGTCCCTTTGGGTTCCACTGCATGCGGCAGCGGGGCTTCTGCGGCCAGTCTTCCCAGCACTCCTTTATCGGTACGACAAACTTTACGTCCAACCGCATCATCTAGTGCTGGATCCGCCGCAGCAGCCTCAGGTACCACCTTAGCTTCATCCCGCGTTGCTCAGGAGAGCATTTATGAACGCGCTGGGCCTCAGATCACCCACTCTTCCACGGTCACCAAGACTGGGCGCAGTAAGTTCATATAAACATCACGTCATCAAAGAGAGCTCTTTTTTGCTTGCTGTAACCAGCCCCGTTTTTTTATCCAATTTAAAGTGTATCGTCTGAGCCAGCAGATCAACCTTTCAGAATATATTCAACCCCAATCTGGTTTTCACATCTCTTCGACTTCGGTCTTTGTCATCAACACTTGGGGCTTTGCTAGAATGCACTTTTGAGTTCCGACTCCACGTTTTCTTCCGTTTTTAATCCACTCATTGTCCTCTACTTTTCTCCATACAGTATTCGATTTTGAGCTCGGTTGCGTGCCTAGCTTGACCCCGATCTCGTCACGATGCTCTGCTGGCGAGTTGCCACTCTTGGGGGCCGGGAGTTGTCTGATCGCCCAGCACACCAGCACGAATGACAGCAGTGGAGCCACATCTTCCACTTCATCCAAAAGTTCTTTTGTCCATTTACATCGCCCTACGACCAACTCTGTGGTCAGTGTGGTCGAAGTGTGGTTGGCCGATCCAACTCAAGCCAAAACGGTCATGTCCATGTGTGCCGGCAATCATGCATTGTTTATGCGCCGCCGTCAGCCTGACAGTGTGGAGGTTCAACAAATGAGGGCCCAAGCCCGTGAAGAAAGAGCAAGGCGGGAGGTGAGTGCTTGCGCTTGTGTTTTGTTCGAGAACGTTTGCTTAATGCATTGACCTGTATAGGAGAAAAACTCTCGCTGTCGCCTGGTCGCTTCCCATCGATACATTTAAACCCCTTCCCATTTCACGCTTGGATGCCGGTGCTCCCAGGTATGCATGCTTGTCGTCTTCTTCTATCAGTTCTCCCAGCAGAATCGCGGTAGATCTTAAATAACTCATGTACACTCTGAACAACTCTGCATCTCATCCTCACCACACTCCTAATTTGGGCATCCTGACTACATTACTTGCTACTTGCAATCGTTGGTCGTATGACGGCGCATAGTACGGACTCATTACCAACGGTCACCACGGCGTAATCCTTGCTTCTCTCATTGAGTCACGGTCTGGCGAGCCAGTTACAGTGTTTACAGACCATTATGGACCAGGGACAGTATTGTTGGATAAGCCATTGTGGTCGGTTGGCATGCCCGTGTTTTTGGGTATTAAAATGGCTTCTTTTGATTTGAATCATACACCTATACATGTAGCGCTGAGTGATTTAACGCCTATATCTTATACTTTAAACGTTCAAACTAGTTACTGGACATGACCAAAGCATCATCCGTTTTCACTGCCACGGAACAACCGTTCAGCATAGTCGATCGGTTTTCTTACCTAGCTAACCGCATCGCCCGGAGAGCCGACCGCTCGCATCGTCGGATTTCACGTTGCGACCCCTGTCGCGGGATAAATCTGATACCTATTCTCTATGCGCTGACGATAGGAGACTGTGTTGAATACTACTCCACCAATAAGTAAGATGAGACTCCTCGATGGACCAATCCATGTTATGGTAGGAAAGGTTGGCGCAGTTTACTAAAAGGTTGAGTCGGGTTGGCACTTTTCGTTTTTCCCGATGAATATCCTGTCGGATCAATGGCAGATGGGGAATCGATGACACGATTTCATTCGTTCTCTCATTTTCGATGTTAAACTTTCAATATTTGTCCATCTCTCTTACATTATCATTTTCGTTTGTTATGTCACTACTGGTTTGTTGATGTGAGTCAAGTCAACTGGGCTGACCTCCGTTCGGTACGGAGAACACATTTACTTAGCTGAACTGAGCAACCTTACCGGCTCTCTGTCTCATAACTGGCAACCACAGACGGCGTCTAGTGCTACTACTCTGGAAATCAACCTTAGTTAATGCCGTCAAACTGGCTGCACACCAGTGTGTCTGCAACGACTAAGTGCGTGCGTGAGTCCAAGACACTGATAATAACCTTAGTTCCTTAGAGCAACAGATGACACTGATTGGTTTTGCTACGTACTACGTATGCCCGGTCATCGCTTACCGTAGAAGGTGGCACACGGTTCTAGGTGGTCAGAAGTTAAGTTGACAGCGATCAATGAATTCACTGACTACAAACTGGGTACTGTTTGTCCGTCTCGTCTTCCGGGCTGGAGTCCATGTGACTCGCCTTGTGCTTGACTCGAGACTTTACATAACATGGCTCGCAATCGGCACCCGTGGTGCGTGTGCTGCCGTCTCCTAGTCGGGCTGCCGGTTTAACATGTTTAGTGCTGAGTTATCTGTTGGGTAATTGCTGATTATGACACGAGGCAGTGAAAGCCGCATGAAGGCTGTCTCGCCAATGCCACCTTACCGTTGCACGATAGCCGGCTGTTTGCGACGGTATGTTGTCTACACAAGGTGTAGGCGCCTTGGCCCTGAATGTTTGCTTAGGTCATTAGGGTTTTCCGGTAACTCCCCTTTCTCTCCCTCTTATTATTCTTCGTTGTGTAGGTCGTTATTGCAGGGAAGCATCAGTTGAAATGGCTACTGTACTGCTGTTGACGATGATATCTGTCGTTTGCTTTTGTCATCCTTTCATACCACTGGTGGCATTTGTCTTCAGATGGACGACCGCTTTGCACTCACATACCTTTTACTTCGTCTAACCGCTATCGACATCGGATCAGAAGCGCATGAAACTCACCTGCGTGACTAATTTGCATGTAGCTTACCTCGCACATTTCATCACTTTGAACGGTAGTTTTGGTTTCTCTCCTTTGCAACTTCTGTTCTGGTTCACTTCAAGATAACTTTTACCTTATTATATATCTGCTATATATATTTGTGTTTATCTCTTTCCGCGATTAGTCAGCCATCCATCTTATCCAGTCGCCACTTTCCTGTCTCACTAATTGTGCAGGTAGTTCATGTTGAAACAACTGGCTAGCGCTTGCTTATCCGTGTGACTTGAATATCGCACAACTGATCTGTGTGAGCTTGTGCTTCTTACTACCAGGTCACTCTTCATGTTGAGCCACACATATTTACGGGCCACACTACAGTATGTGCATAGTCCGCACACGCATTGGCAGCGAAGTGTGTTGATACAATGTACCAGCCGATTGCTTGTATCTTTCCTCTTGTCCCTGTGGATCTACGCCTATGTGTTACCGAAGGATCACAATCAATTCATACATTTGATGCACTGAGCTCCCTTTATTAACGTGAATAGTGCAATAAGAGAACACAGGTTGCATGATGGTACCATTTCGTGACCTCTGTTCACTTGTAAACGAGCAACATATCAAATGATGACGTGACAAAAATTAATAAGTTGAACTTGCAAGGTCACATGCAAAGGAAGTAAACGGTGGCTACAAATTCATGCATTAATTGGTTGCTTATGGTTTATTGGAGCTGAAGGAGGGTAACATGTATTCTTTCTACACTTAAGGTTTCCTCTTTTCAGATCGAGCGGAGCCGACTTGCTCGAGCCCGTGCTGAAAAGGCAGAAGCCTTAGAGGCGAAGTGGGCTCTGGAATCCCGGTGTGCCCAACTGGAGCAAGCGTTACGGCGTCACCAGAGTTTAAAACTCGCATATTTATCACCTGAGTGGCTGGCTCCTGATGGTCGTCGTCCGATGCTCAGGCACTTGCCGGATGAGTCAGAAACTGAACCCCCAATGCGAAAGACTTATCAACATCTCAATTCTTCGACTGCCCATATGTTTAGTTCCAATCGGTCCGATGATGGTGTGCGCCTCTCTTTCACTGCACCTGGTAACGATGAGGACGAGCCTGAGCAGGCTGAAAACGAATTAAGCAGCATCCACCGCAAAGTCAGCACTGACAATGTCGACACCGAACACTCCGACATTCGATTCAACGAATCAACGTTTTATCCAACTGAGGAACTATCGGAGAGCAAGGTCCTGAACTCTGAGGACCGTTTGTGGAACGAGATGCACCCTCGTCGTTTCCCTCGCCATTCCTCCGGCTTCCACGATCACTCACGTGGGATCCCTGACCGCCCCTATGCTGGTTCCTCCTCCACACCCGCCACTCCACACAGCAAGCGTGATGGCAGTCGCCATGATCCACAGTCAGGTGTTCACCCTACACACACGCCCCGAGCCCCACCTCGATCGCAGTCTCATCAAGGACACTCTCACACTCGGCACATAGATCCCGCTACATCCGTTGCACACTCGAGACTTCACTGCTCTGCTTGTGTGAGTTACTTTGATTACTTCATAGCAATTTCATGTGATAATTGTCGAATTACGGTTCATATCGTTTTTTACAGACGTTTCTTCATGCGGATCATCAATTTTCAGGTCTAGAACGTGAGTGCTCGATCTCTTCAACGTAAAAGAAACGTCTTATTGTACAATAAAGCCAACCAGACGTCGGTCACATAAGTCAGTGATTGTCGCAACGTCTCTTGTTGAGTTCCATCTGGCACCCGAATACGCTACAGTCTTCCCTTCTCCTCTGCATCATCGCGCTTGCTCCCACCATACGTTTGTGCTGATTTTCTTCTTTCCGATTGCATTGATTTGACCAGGTAGACTGCGCATGCACACCTGGCATAGGATCAGGCATACACACACTTGTTCTCTTATTATCGGCCATAAATACGGGACACTATGCGATAATGTTGGTCAGAGATGGGGCAACAAACGTGCCACACTAGATTCTCCGCCAGCCGCATCTGCGTTGATGCACACTGGTACTTGTGTGCGTGTGTGTGTGTGTTGACTGGATACACTGACGATCAGCATCCGACGCATTCGTTCGTGCAAAACCCTGCTGACGCATGAATGTACACATTCCGATCACATGGCGAAATCATACACTCCTTCTTTTATCCCGGTTGTGTGTACATAACTTGGCGAAGTCGATAGATGATACAGGCGGTTACCGCTTCCCTCATTGTTCAGTGCACTCCCCCTTGCTATAAATATCCAGTACGGCCATTTTTCTCACTATCTTTTCACGTATCTTACATCAGTCACCTTGTCTCCATATCCATTTTCTGATTCATTTTACACCACTTTTGAAAGTTTGCCATAGATTCTTTGGCTTAAATTCCGACTCTCGGGATAATGAATGGCTCTTCGGCACATGCTTATGCTCCCGATTCTGTCTATTTATCATCCAAGTTGTTTATCGATGATAAGGTTCTTGACTTGCGACGAACCCGGTTTTAAAGCATTTAATTCCCCTCAACAATTTGAAAAGCACAGTCAGAAAACGAAGCTCGGAGGACGCATGCATTTCGTATCATCTCTTTAGTGCCGTAAATTATAACTGAAAATGAAATACAACTGGGAATTGGTGCAAACGTACAAATTAACGAAAGGAAAAAACAGGAAATCACCTCCCTAGGTCGATTGAAAATTGAGGCTTACTGATAGTAGCTTTTGAACACAGAGCGCAGGTTTGATCCCGATGATTGCAATAGCCCCGGCGAAATGGAGGAGACGGAAATTGGTATGCCGCAGTAAAACGTTCAATGACGTGCCGATCTCAATCCGGTGACCTTAGGCCGATCGAAGATGCTGGCAGCCTATGTGAACGTGTAGCCTGAGATAGATGTGCTTGTTGAGCCGTCTCGTACTGGATCCACTTTGGAACGCGCTCCTCCATCCGTGAACTCAAAGTCCTATCGGTTTTGTTCCTAGTTACCTACGTGCCAGCGATGTAGTTGTAATGAAGCCTAATACGGTATCAGAGGTTATTAGTTATGGGTAAAGTGGGATACATTAAGGTGATGAGCATCATACTGAATAATTCAAATGAATTTAAACGACTTAAAAAAACCCAGGATGTGGCTGTGTTTGATTTTCGCATTCTTCCTCATTTATAAATACTCCTGCAGTAAACTGTAATCGACAATGCAACTTACAACAGTTTAAAGCCAACTGGCTCAATCACACCGCAACTGTATGGACTACCAAAAACATATAAGAGTGGAGTGCGACTCAAACCGATCCTCTCATTGGTAAACGCGCTCCAATCTTAACTAGCTCGCTGGTTAGTAAAAGTGCTGTCGCCGTTAAAAGAGCATTTTAGTCCCTTTGGCCTCAAAGATTCCTTTGTACTCATCGAATACCTCAAAGAGATGAACTTATTTGATAAAGTGATGTGTTTCTTTTGATTTAGAATTGTTATTGACTAGTATGCCGCTTCAGCAAATCGTTGATTACATCTTTGAATTAGCAGCAAGTCCCGGACATTCGCTACCGATATCCGTTGAATTATAAAAGGAATTGTTGCTACTGTGTACACCATGTGTCAAATTTCACTTCCGAAACACACCGTATTGTCAAATTAGTGGGATAGTCATGGACAGCCTACTGGGCCCGCTACTAGCAGATTTCTTTATGATGATTGTAGAACGAGGCATATCTGAAGGGATAGATCAAGTGCCATACTATATACGGTATGTTGATGACATTCTATCGATTTGTTCATCTATACAACATATCACACAGCTGCTACCGCGTCTAGTTGGTGCGCATCTCAATTTAAGGGTCTTGTAAAGTTGGCTGGCACAACTGCCCCCCTTATTCGGATCTTCTCATCAGCCGCAGAGAAAACGGACTGGTTAAAAGGTCCGTGTACAGAAAACCAACATGGCCCTTCCAGTACCTGCATTTTACCAGCTTCGTACCCATGCGGTACAAGTGGACGCTTGTGTATACCTGCTTTAATCTTGCCAGGCGATTATGTTCGACCGATTATCTGGACGACGAACTGGAACTGATTGTTAGTACACTAGTCGAATCCTCATCACCATAACACATCCACCGCAAAAAGCGAATTTTTTTTGTCTTTTTTAAATGTTTTTCATTAAGCTATCCTCGTTGTCATCGTGCTGAAGACAGCGTAGCCTGTAGATTGCCTATATGGGAATGCTAATCGAGTAACACCCGCAAATCTTCATGGGGAAAAAGTTGATTTGTACGTGCTTTTTTGGTGATTCGCAGTACGAAGTGATCTGGATTCCGACATTTTATTCGGTTTCACTTGCCTACCAATATGCTTACATTCGCGTGTATTGCACTACAGCGGTTCCCAGTGTAGCTAACAATGCATTCCGAACGACATCATATATGTATCCATCCCGCTGGATCGACACCCCTTAATATGTGCAAATTGTTTCACCTAGCCTATGCTTATCTAAGTGACGGCTGCCGCCGATTATTTGGAACGACCTACAATGACGCATCGCCGCTCTTGCGCCTTTCGTTTTCTGATTTTTTTTTAATTCACCAGGCTTTTGTACCTTCTTAGGCCTCTGTAGTTCGTGCGTACCACCCTGTTTGGTCACACTGTACTCGGCGCTGTCAGGGATTCTTCTTCGTGATTCCAGCATACCCACCTAGCCTACAACTGTCCGATATGTGGAAAACTCGTAGACTCGCAAGCAGATGCTCCGACACTACGACTGACAGCAGCAGTTCTGTTTCACTGAAATTCAGTGACCTGAGAGCTTGTACTAGAGTACACTGTCTGTAGCGTACCTTGATGAGCCCGCTCACCCACGGGCCACTGCATCTTATCGGTTGCCAATCGAATGGACCACTGGGTCCCATTTTCGGCCAAATCAGCAGTCTTCGGGGTATAAAAAACAGCAGCGATACGTTTTACTGACGTTCCGCTAGCACGTGACCTCCACGAGTTGCTCACCTGCCGATGATACTGCGAGGTCGCCCACGAATTACTCAGGACTTTGCCATTTGTTCTTCTTCTTTTGCCTGCCAGTGTCTTCACCTTTACGCGTTTTCCACTGCAGCAGTGCCTTGGGCATTCCGAACTACACCATATCTGCATTCACCTCGCTCGATCGCCATTCCTTGATACATACAGATAGTTTCACCTGGTCGATCATCAACGCGGCTTTTTTGACTGCTCGCTCGATCTCACCTGACGACCCGTACTTCTACATGTGATAATTCCTTATCTGTATTGAGCGGTCTGCAGCATTTATGTCTCTCCGGGGCCTCCGTTTCTCCCTGTTGTAATCTTCCAACGCCTTATCTTACTTCTTTGTTATCGAGTTTTACTTATTGTTACTCGGCAGTCCAATTTATCTCGTGGTGTTAATTCATTGGTTCCTGTTGTGAACAGCGAATGAGGATTATCTAAACCGACAATTTGTATTCAACTTCTCGTTCCACTCTCTCATCGTTCGTACGATGCTCTCGAGTTTTTTAATATCCTTTTCTTCAGGCTGCATCCGAGCTTTGATGACGAAACATCTTTTCTTTTCAGATGTACGCTAAACCTCAATCGTTCCCGGGCAGTGATTTCTTCCACGCTTGTTTTCCTCCAGTCTGTGATGACGGCGCTCCATTCCATCCGCCAGAGCCTTGTCCTGTTTGTCGGCACATTCCTGAGCATCGTCACGCTATGGGGTTCAAAACCCCTTACCCCAGGCACTTTCACCCCGTTATTCCGGGGAGTTTACCTGCGCTTCATCAACCTTATGGTGTCTACGACGATGCGGCTTGGCATCCCGCTGTCCATCCATGCGGTGGTCAGCTCGACTGGTTGTCAAGTCCAACTTGCAAACTATCGACTCCCCATGTGGCCAATACTCCGTTCTATTCCATTGCCCAGACCCCAGCTGCAGTGGATCCACTCTTCAGGCATCCGGACTCGTGGTATTCGCAAAACGCATTGAGATATCCCTCCGGCATGCGGCCACAATGCAACCGGCAGCATATGAGTTCATCGCTCTCAGCTATTTTGTCTCCAACCGCCTGCCACCGTTGGCATCACTCGCATCCAAAGAAGGAGGTTCCTTTTGTTAACTATGGTTTGCGACCTTACAGGCTTGATGGGCCTCAGCACGTGTGTTGTCGTTCCGCCCCATTCCTCGCTGGTGCTGCCAGTCAAGACGGGTTGATGCAGTACGACTGGAATCACTTCTCCTTCCCTGGAGATTGCAGCAATCAGGCCGTGTACGACTGGCCGCAGCTAAGCGACAGCGCATACAGGGGATACTCGCTTCAGCATCTGTCCGATCCGTCTGGCATTTGGGGTCCATACTCTGATGAGTGTAAGTTAATTCTAATTCTGTTGTCCATTTTACTTCAATCATCCCCCCGCTATTCCAAACTTTTACGGGTTTTTATATTCCGGTTTTATCGAACAGCTAGCAGTTTCATCACTCCACTCTTTCCGTTGATGATCATTGCGTTATACAAGTGACTTATAGTTTGAAATGGTAGGTTGTGCCGCAGGTGGTGGTAACCTAGTCACGCGGACCATTTTCCACGCTCCATTGTTGTAAGCCGCCTAGTGTATGTTAAGCGGTCATCGGATCGAACTCCAAAAGACTTGAGGACACCGTGCACTGCTCACGAGTCTCGATAGATCGGAACGGCTGTTTAGCCTTTTTCCGGCTCATGGCGGCCGTGGCCCGACTGGTTGGATCCTCAGATCTCCTCACTAACTAATTAAAATGCTTGCCTATCTGCTAGAACCCTCACATGATACTGCACTTTTTCGCGTAACTCGCTTTTGTTGAATGACGACTATGGTCACTTCCTTTTTTCCTGTTGAGCCACCCTGCTACGTATCCATTGGTTGTCAGCTCCTTCATCATCATGGCAAAACAAAACTGATGTAGCATTGTGTAGAAGACGAAAACAACATGTAGGTTCAAAGACCATTCGAGCCACCGAGTTATTTGCAGTAGGATCCACTGGTGGGTTATATTAAGCTATTTTTCCTTCTTCGCTATGCACGAATCGTGGACCCCGTGCTGAACTACTGCAAGCGGTGGCGCTAATCGTTTTCTTTGTTACTTTCTTCATGTTCACTTTATACATAACAGTACGTAGCAGATTGCGACCACATATCCCCCAGTGACTCACCAGAAAATCTTCCAGTACGCGCAAATTGTCCAAAATGTCCGCTCTTCACTCAATGTTCCCACCTGACACGCTCAATGTTTCGCAAACCTCACTGATCAGATGCGACTTGGCGTTCTCACTGTACGGCACTTAAATCTTTGGTATCTACATTAGCGCTAGCCACCTCACAGTGTTGATGAGCCAATTTTCTACCTGCTTCCTAAGCGACTGTGACGTAAACCAGACTAATGTAATCCTTAGCAGGTTGTGAATTTGATCCCAGGGTGCAGCATGCAATCTGCGTGTCTGAACCCCATTGCTACATTTACTGACATCCCTGCAACATTAATATTTGGCGCTGTCTCAGCTAGGTGGTTCTCCTGCCAGCACCATTCTCTGGCTTTTGCATGACGCTTCGCAAACTATGAACCCCACTGTCAGGCTGCCCGGCACCAACAAGACAATCCTTTTTTGCTTTACATTAACTGAGTCACATTAAAGTAAGCATATACATTTCTCCCGTTCCACCCCTTGCTACTTGTAATCTGTAGATAGAGGAACTGCCATCCCCAAGTACTCGCTCATCGTGGTTTAAACGACCGTGGCATTTTGTTCTTATGCTTCTACTCTTTCAACATTTACTTTTGACATGTGGGCTAGGCTACTTCCATGTTGCCCAAGCGTAGACAGGAAAATGCTTTGGATCCTCAACCAATGTTCTCTACAATTCAGAAGCATAACTACGAGGGTGATGCACGACGGGCGTAAAGTTAAATGTGAAGATCGTAACCGTAGTCCCATCATCTAGCTTGGGAGACCAGAAGTGCTCAGCTCAGTTCGGTTCAGTTCAGTCTAGTTAAATAATTCTGATTGGAGCACCGAAGTCTGGTGGGTCCGGTTGCCACTACTCTGCTCACCATGATGATATGGCGGACACAGGTAGAGTACAAAGAAAACAGTGTTGGACAATTAGCGGACACAATCATTCGGGTTGCTTTTTTTACTTGCAAGGGAAACAGAGTTCAGCAGTGTTATTAATTCCACGATTGTGCCATGTCCAGCAAGGTGTTCGAACATTTAGGTGACCAACCTCATTTACTTCGGGCCCACATACCTTCTTCGTGCCCTCCGGCCACGTCATTGGCCGGTGTCTGTATCGTTTCGTCCATTGAAGTGCAGCGATGGCGAAAATTTACTCAGATGTTGGGGGTCAACGGGATTTTGTAGGACGTGGCCTAATCCACAATGCGAGGTTCGAGCTTAACGGCATCCATCGCGACACCAAACGGTATATTTGTAGCCACAGACTGACAGATTTCACTGCTGTTTACTTGTTGTCCCCTTTGACTGTGGGCAACGTTATACATACACCAGTGAACAAAGACTACCAGTCTCCCAAAATCTTCAGTGTGAAGTAGCCATCTTCCTGTACCACACACGAACGCCGGTCTTATTGCAGCGTCGTACGCCCTGCCGTCGGTTGGCAGGTGATGGTCCGTCTCTGCGTGGATGACAGGTTATGCAAAGCCACACGGCCTGCATTCAATTAGCTCCACCGACAGAGGTAGTTGGCCTACCTAATTGAACTGACCAATCGACCGACCTCTACCGATGCTGTCATCCCGGTTCTGCAACCTTACTTTGCGAAAATGATGTCAAAAACTGTAGGGCTCTGCATCGACTACCCAGATACGTCTATACAGAGAGTGGGTCCAATTCATTGAGCGTCTTTTAAGAGAGCAAGAACGAACAACATTTTTACGGGATAACCTGAAATCAGATTATTTCGTGTCTTTTCATTCAGCCGCTTACAGACAAATCTTGGAAAGAGTAAATGAATGCAATTGAACAGGGGTCAATAAGGAAATCAATAAAACTGAGAAAATCTAGGTCATCTCGTACGTCTTGCCAGGGCAAGGCAAGACTGGCCACAAGGTCTGCCTGTTTGCAAAGGTTAGGTCATACGTATTCACGTACTGTAGATGTGTCGTTTGCTCACCGTATAGTATTTCCACTCCATCAGCGGCCGGGAAGGTGAGGTCATTTATCGTCATTTCGATCACAAAGTTGTATTTAAAAGGATGTCGGTCAACCTTGACGCACTCCATTTGCCGTGAAAAACTCTGGAGACAATCTTATACTCTTGCCCTATCTCAGGAGTTACAGTAAGTTTACTTCAGAACGTCGAGGATTTTTTTTGAAATTTTACTTACTTCCCAGTAGCCCACATCCCAGCTAGTCTAGACCCCAATCCGGATAAGCATCAGCCAGCCGTTGCGCCTTATTGATCCTCGTCAGTAGTGCACATTCCTTCGGTCCCCTTTTAAAGAACCGAATCCATGAGCGCTAGCAGTTTACGCCAACTAACCAACAGCTTATGTCACTGGGCCATGGAGAACTTTGGCAGACCTTCATAACCTGCAAGCTAACTGGGATAGAGCATTGCAGAGGACAGTGGCTGACCTCTAGAGGTCACAACTTACACTACATAGCAGCTATGTACACGTAGTATTTGAAGACTGAAAGTAAATGTTTGATTGCTAATGAGTAGGAGAACTAAACTAGACACGCCTTTTAAGCATTTGCCATTGAAATGAGTGACTCTCAAAACACTAAAAGCACCGTCACTCTAAGTTGTTGCCCCCATGGTTGCAACATGCATCTCTTGTTTCAGGTATTGTTGCAGCTTGTCCATGCACATTGTTGGATTTTGCAACCAAGTCAACCTGCTCGGCTTGCTACACACACACACACACACACACACGTGACACTCCAGCAGACCACCTCAAGGCAACGTGCCGGGAGGCTCTTTTTAACTGATGATATTAATTATTCACTCACTATAACTTTCATCCTTTGCCTACTTTTCGAAACGCGATTACTCGGATATTTCTATGTGGTACCAAAGTCCAAGCAGTGTGTCCTCACCACAGTTTCTGCTCCCTTTACCGCATTGGAAAACAGTAGCGAGTGTGGCCGGTGGCTGAAAGGATTACGCGATTGCCTTGTATTCCATCGGTCGCCGGTTCGAATCCGCGTAGTTGCGGGCACCCTTGCGCGATTGGTGGTGGTGGCGATGGTCGCTTCGGTACGATGTTTCGCCGTGCTGCGGATGCCTAGTACGGAAATTGAAATGTCTTTACTGGCTTGCCGAACAGCCTCCACGGGGTGCCAGCTGGGTGGTTCGGGTTTATTCCGTTCCAGCAAATAGTTCGGTGGCAGTGTTCTAGGATGTGATGGGTTTACGTCTGGCAAGCGTCATCCCTATAAAAAGCCACATATGTCCGTTTAATGACGCTGCGACGTGGCGGATGTGACTAGTCGCTGAATAGAGTCACTGCCCCTTGCTTCACTCCGTTGGTGCATTGTTTTCCAGAAACGCAAAGCTGCAGTTATGGGGAGGATTGGGCCTCTGTTTGTCAGCCGATCAAACGAAAGGCGAACAAACTGTGCATTCAGTCCCCGGCTCCCAATGAGCGCGATTCCATGCATTCGCCCCGCTGCCTTGCAGGCAGGCTATTTAGCCAAACGGCCGAGGTGGTGTCCCCTAAGTCAACACCTTACCCCGGCTTAAGCAACCGGATAGTATCGGGCCCTCCGACGAAGCCATTGTTTCCTCTGTGTTATGTTCGGTTTTCTTTTTAGGGCAACTATACCTTCTTCTGATTTCCATGTCTTTCAATGGCTCTTTACCTATACATAGGTTGAAGTGATATATATATATATATATATATATATATATATATATATATGAGGTACTTCGCAGCCAGTTTCCAAATCAGATAGTCTTCCACATGTCCCGAAAAGCACTAGACTGCAGTTTCAGCCTGTTGGGCATCGTCAATAGTGCGCGCTATATCGCAGTTAGGTTGTAAATCATGACGGTCCGAGCTGTCCCCCGTGACCCAGTGGCATACGCTGCTGACTGCCAGTTCAAGCCGCTGGTGGTCATGAGTTCGAATCCCGATGGATGCGAACTACTGACGATGCCCAACTGGCTGAAACTACAGTCTTGTGCTTTTCTAGGCATGTGGACGACTATCTGATTTGGAAACTGGCTGCGAAGTACCTCACATATAATTCCATCAAATCCCCTACTCATAAGTACATCAATATATATATATATATATATATATATATATATATATATATATATATATATGTATATTGAATAAGAAAGACCTATCGGTTAAAAGTTAGTTGTTACCGGTTCGCAACGCTACGTTCTACAATTGATTTCGTACTCCTTTACCTCAACATAACCCCCTCAATCAATCAGTAACTGTATTGACAAATGTTTCTCACCATGGCTCTTTGTCTTGGGGGCAGAGGTTTCAGCAGACATCCAAAAGATCTAATCATTGTCCTACTATCTCATCCTTATGCATAGAAATGAGTACGAGACCTTTCGTGAAGTACAGTGTTGAGAACCGGTGACATCCAGTCCTCATCCGCTTAATGCGGTTCCCGTGGTCGAATTCATCGAGGTCCACTTCAAGGTGAATCGTGGCACCGATTAAAATTGTGTGTCGCAATCCAATCACACGACGTGTAATTCAAAATGACCCTCCAATCAGTCATTAACCCTTGTGCTCAGCTCCAGGTAGCCCCGGGTTCGAGGTCTGCAATTCCCATCTGATGAGATGCGCTGAGGTCGAAGCGCGTCGCGGAGTGCATTGTTGTGAGCCGGTGACATCCAACTTTATCCGGTTCAGGTGTGACCCAAGTGGCCTGAATATAGTGAGGTTCACCCCAAATTGGATCAAGGCACAGATTGAGATCGCGCGTTGCGATCCATTCACGAGTGTTTCCAAATGACCACTGCAATCTACCCATCAGCTAAATTTCACTCAGGTATGTAACTGCCGGCTGATTAATGGCTCAGCGCAGTTTCATTTTTTTCTTTATGTTGGACTTTTTGGACAACCAAACAAAAAATATGTGATAGTCAAACAGTGCTAATGCGTATTCCGGAGAGACGATCAACTGTACTCTGCATATTCCATCTAAACATGATGACATACGAATTTCTTGCGATGAGTTTGGGAACCAACATGTGAATAGTGTTTCTTATGCGCATTGCAATCAACTTTTCATCTTTGTCGACACAGCGGGTACCGATTCCGAGACGTCTCACTTGTCATCGTGCTTCTGTGTTTTTATTAACGGATGACTAGGGTACTAGAGGGGCACCCAAACTCGTTCGCAAGCGGGGCAGTACTTCCAGCCCAAATACTGTATTTTCGAAGAAAATATTTCGAGCAACACAAGGTCAACCTTTCCTGAGTCCGTGGTTTAGCGTTGATCTCAATTGACCCGCATGCGGCTACGTTCATTACTCTTTTGCATTGATGGTTTCAGCCAGACGTGCCCCTTGGTTAACAAAGTCGAGTCCATGAACTTGATTCCGTTGTTGACTCGGCCTTGTTTGTCATTCCAATCAAAGATATTTCTTTGGGCTCAATCTACCGCTGAAATCCATTCTGACTAGAGCAGATGAGCACTCCTTGACAGTCGGTGTATCTTTATGATGACGATGCATCCTAATCGTACCAGCTAAGCGATTCAGTGCCGGTGGTCATAAGTCATGGTCGCACAGAGGGACTGATAGAGCCGGTCAACTGCTTCTTGGCATTCTGCTGACTATTCGAAAGTTTGGTCCCTTGGTAGCAATGCTTTCAAGGGAGCGGCAATAGTCGCGAAGCCTTTAATCCCCGGTCCTATGACGCCAACCCAAGAGAACTACGTAAGTGATCAGTGCTCTCCTTGCATAAAATGATTTTGTGTAGTAGTTGCTTATAATTGTTTAGTAGGTGTAAGCTCTTTAGCGAGCCCATATCTGCACTGAACCACTACGGTACATTTTTCGCGTACACTTCGTCATCGGGGTTAATTTGCCGGTTTGCTAACATTTGGCGCTCTCTCATTTATCCATGTCAGTGCAAACTGATACGCCTCTTCGGTAAATTGTACTGTTCTTTCTGAATCAGCATAGTCACTGTTTTTGTTACTAATGAAAGTTAATCCACGACCAATGAAATCGCTCACGAATCTCATGGGAACTTTAAATAGTTGCTTTGTCTTGCCGCCTGTCTTACGTTTCACCCTCAACTTCCCAATGTACATGTTTTTTCGTGCGAATAATCATGCTTTTCTGCTTGTGCCACTCTAGTTGCTCAGCTAGAACCTCCTTATCTTGCCGCATGTCGTTTGCATTTTTCTCCAGCTGTCGCTCCTGCTGCCGCATGAAAACGCAGGTTTGTTCCTGTCCTTGTTGCTGTTTCAGCGTCTTTTCACTGTTATTTTTCATTGTTTTTCCAATCTAAGTTTAAATCTTTAGCGAATCGATTTACCTGTCCACAAGCCTTGGTGTTCATCTTGGTTGCCTTGCTCCGATGTCATTGCATCTCCGCATCCGTTAGTCACCTATAGTCCAGCTGATGAAGATAAGGGCGCTTGTTATACACGCGTTATATCTAATTATTGAATAGCTGACGCCTACGAAGCCTTCTTGTTGTCTTCGTAAACTTTCTTTATGTCGCTTTCTGTTGTACAAACCTGTTATGTACCACCCTATCCTCCCCTGAATTCAGACCGTCTCCCAATCTTCTTGCAGATCATCCCACTCCTTCTTACCCGAATCCGTTTAATGACTATGCCATTCGACGTGTGCCAAGCGGCGGTTCCGCTTGGGCGGGTGAAGCACCCATTCTCCCCGCCCCTTCAGTTCCCACCTACTTCGACGGATTCCTCGCTTCTGATCCGCTCTGTTCACCACAGCCTCCAATTCCTTTGGGTCTATCGCATAGAGGTTGCATTTCTCGGCGATTGCAAGAAGAACGAGCCAGATTCGCAATTCTCCAAGCCCAGTTCTCTAAACAGTTGCGTGACACATGGGCGTGCCTCAGAGTAACCCGGTCGGCCGGCAGGTTGAAACCGAATGAACCGTACAGTCCTCTGTTCCACAGTTCGGCGACCACCAAGTAAGCAGTTGTCATTGTCTTTATTTTAATTAGTCCCCTAGTAATTAGTTTATTTTCCAAATAATCTTGTTCTTTTTCTGTTCTGTCCCCTTCACAGTCATGTTGCCCACACTAATGCACTTCCGTCCCTCGTTGACTATCGCCTCTCTGATCCGCTTGCCCAGGTAGCAGAATATGCTGGTGCAACTCGCTTTTCGGATGTAAAACGCACTGTAAACTCAGGGTAACTAAACACTTTGGTATACTTTCTCCTCCACAGCCTGGCTATTGCACCGGCTGTCCTGATTGGTCTTTTTAGTCAAGGTGTCCATCTCCTTTGAACAAGATTTTATGGTCTTGTATGACATTGTCTTATCTCGTGACAGTAAGCAACTAACGCAAGGTATATCTACTGGAGCGAGTTTTCCGCAGATAGACTCAGCCAGACGGGTATAGTGCATCCAGGAGCACACTGGACGGACGTTCTGCCTTTTCGGATCTCATAAACAACACGCTCTCCCCATTCTTATGAATCTTTAAATGAAGGCCTGCTTGATAGCGGCCTGAGGAGAGATGCCATATATATGGTAGTCTACTCAGCCCTCTACCCAGCAGTGACGTGCATGGTTTATGTGGGTGAAGTGCGCTGATTAAGTAACTTCTTCATGAGGACCACCACCACCACCTATGGCTCACCAATTCATTTCATTTAAACAGTTGTGAGGAAAGCGAGGTAGAACACAAACAGAATACGAAGGGACATGGTAAACGTGGTCAAAATCAGTCGAAATACAGGGACGACTCTGAATTCCCAACTGCACTATGGCTGGTGAGGCTCCCAGTTCTTTATGTGGCCCATCATCATCAATACACGTTAGCTGAGGGTGAGAAACACACCCACAGCTAATGTACCGCAATACAAAAAGATAAGGGATTAAGAAATTACACTAGAAAAAAGATTCCAAGCAGGTAATATGATGTTAAATATTATATTATGCGTTTTGTATGCGATCGGAATTGGAGGGGGAATCTAAAGCGGAGGGGGATGGACAGAGAAACTCGCAACCCAAACGCCATTGGGACCGGCTCTTCGCCATATCAGCAAGTGTGTCCAACCAAACGTGTTCATCGTCCTTCGGACCCCAGCCAAGCAGTCAAAATACACCGACCGACGCCAGTTTCGAAGTGAGGGTTTTCATTCCTCTCGATGAAGTCATCGCTTGGCGTCCCCTCCTCCTCTTCCAGCCGCACCCCCGGCGCGCAAACAATGCACGTCGCAGGAGTCAGTGTGCTGGCATGCGCAACAAGTGGCCCAGCCATCGGATCATGGTGGGTGATATAATAGTGCTGAGCGGTTCACTAGCTTCTCCTACACCAAATACTCGACGCCGCACACGCTCATTGCTCACGCGGTGCTCCCATCAGACATCAGCTAAGTTGCGAAGGCAGCGAGAATCGAATGTGACCAGCCACTTTATGTCTGTCGACCTGATGGGCCAAGTTTCACAACCATATAGGAGAATTGAACCTACGACTGCATTATAAACTTTGCCCTTCAGGACGAGAATGATGTCGCGTCTGCGCCACAGATGGCGGAGCTTGGCGAAACCCTCTCGAGCTTTTGCTATACGGTTCGTAACCTCATCTTCGATCCCACGGGCGCTGCCCAGATACTTGCATTACTGAACGACTTCTATCTGCTCACAACCAAGGGTCACTGTAGGAGTAGGTCCCTGCCAATCTTTTATAAGAACTTTGCATTTCGATGGAGCAAAGCATAGTCCAAAACGATAGACAGCGAGTGCTAATCGGTCTAGTGCAGCCTGGCACGTTTTGGCCCTGTCATCTATGAGGACATACTCCAAGTCAAGAAGTCGTTCACCAGGAAGTAGCTCCACACCTAGGTCGTGTCTAACGAACGCTGTTTCCATGACTTCATCAATGACGAAGTTAAATAGGGTAGGTGACAGCGGGCAACCTTGTTTCACATCGCTGGGGATATTGAACGGCGGCGACAGTGTGCCATAAACCCTTAATCTGTCCGAACTATGGGCGTACAGCGTTTTGATAATGTTTACATACTTGTCGAGCACGCCTTTTTTCGGCAGACAGTTCCAAAGGGCACATCGATCCACCGAATCGAAGGCACGTTTTATTTCGAGAAATGTGACAACGGTGGGTCGCCAATAAACTTGGTGGTGCTCCAACAATTGACGCAAAGTGAAGATGTGATCGATGCAGCCTCGATTTTAACGAAACCCGGATTGCTCTTCGCGGATCTGGCCTTCACGAGCGCCAGTCGATCTCTGAAGAACGACAGAGGAAATCAATTTTGAGGCAATTGTGATCAGACTGACCCCTTTATGATTGCCTCATTCCGAACGGGAGCCTCCCTTGGAAATTGGGACTATGACGTAGCGGCTGCAGTCTGTCGGGACAGTTTCCTGCTTCCAAAGTTCCATTAGCAACTCGTGTAAATCATCTACACTATAAATTACGCTACAAAAATGAAGACATGTTCATCCTGCTTAGGACCCCAGCCAGACCAACCGCACCTACGCGGATTCGAGCCGGTGATGTCCGGATTGCTGAGCAGACGCCTAATCCTTTCGGCAACTGGCCAGTCGTCGATAAACCTTTGGTCTATTTTGCTATAACTTGCTTGGTCGTTGGTACCATTTCGGTTGGATTCCAAGGTATGAGCGTTATTGATGAGATACACCGTGGCGCACGAAATGGCATATCATTTGTTTTCTTCGTTACATATGTATTTATCAGCAAAATATGACAAAATTAGTGCAGAATTAATTGTATGAGCATGGAAATTTAGTTCAATGCAGTATGTGTTCAATGTGATCACCCTTTTGTTTCACAATCTCTGGCACACAATCTCCTGTCACAACTTCCCTGCAAAAGTCTTCCGAAATTAGACGGCACAACTGCATTATGAGAGTCCTGAGTTGAGCTAAACTTGCATGCTTCCTTGCGAAGACATTATCTTTCAAGTAGCCCCACAAGAAGAAATCACGTGGATTGATGTCAGAGCTATGCGGAGGTCATTGTCTCCCACCTTGGTGACGCTCAGGAAACCGATGTGACATTACCTGCCCATAAAACATGTCATACAGCTAAACAAGGAAAACATTTTCAGTGTGTGGGCAAGCGTTGTATTGCATGAACCATTGAGTTTGTACTGGGAAACCTGTTGCCAAAAGTTTTGTAATAAATATCTTTTCCAACATGTCCTTATACCGACATTTGTTTACCCTCTCATCCAAGAAAATTGTCCGATGATTCCATGGGATGAAATTGCTTCCCATACACTGACCTTTTCTCCATAATTTTCTCTTCCGTGCAGAATGTGAGGATGTTCATTAACCCAGCAACGAACATTTTCTTATTCACTAAACCATTTAAAAGTAAATACGCCTCGCCAGTAAACTACGTGTTGTACAGAACTTGATCCTCTTGCACTAACGATGAAGCGAACCGTTGCCTTTCTTTGTTTGTCCTTTCTTGTTAATTTCTTGACTAACGTTATCTTGTAAAGGAACGTTTGAAGAATGCAGAATCCTTTTGTATTGGCTGACGAGATAATCCTAACTCAGCAGCCGTCCTTCTTGTTGCTTTGCTAGGACTTGGCGTCAAAGCAACCCAAAACACTTCCATGTTTTCAGGGTGCGGACACTTGGTCTGCGCCGACGATTCTTCTCCGCCACAGAGTCAGTTGTTTCAGATTGACGACACAATCTCTAGTCTGTTTACATGGAGTCCATTTTGTACGAAAGTGTGCACGAAAACGTCTTTGTGTCGCTACAAAACTCCTCATTTCTGCAAAAAAAATAACATTAACACTCACCTTTTCAACACTCAATCTGCTCTTATGCTCCAACTTCAAAATTGTTTTCAGCGCCAAGAAAATAGTCCATGCAAACTACCAGATATTCCATAAACCAAAGTATACGAATACGAGTTTTCAACATTATATCTATAATATTACATGTGTAATGAACAAAACAAATGGTATGACATTTCGTGCGCCCCCCTCTAAAATTGATGCGCTGCGATTTAACAGTGACGCTTATCTACTGGGTTTCATCCACTGGTACTGCACAGCAAGCGTCACATCCATGTTTACCTTAACTCGGTGCAAACACACACCAACTTTCAGACCCTTTATTCAGTTAAAAAATTTTTATGGCTGTTCTTGACCATGCACATTGCATCTTCCTGATCGGTTGATGGGAAATCTCCTTCCCGATGTGTCTATGACATAAGTCTATTCTCAACCTCTTCCCATTACTGTTCTCATGCTTTCTTCTAGATTCGTTTGACCTTCGCACCACTTGTGTGCTCACTTTTTCACTCACTCCGTTTATTTAGCGAGCTCCGCTTGGATCCAGCCGGAGCTTCTGATGGAGCGTCTACCGGTGGTTGTGGCGGTGTCCCGGGTCCCACTGGTCTTGCCGCTGTTGGTGTGGACGGACCGTCTCCAACGCACGTGGGCGGCTTGCATGAGAGCACGCATCCGGCTATGCAACACCCGGTTCAATTGGAACACACTGGTTGGGATCATCCGGAATGTGCGGTCGGACGGGTGCCTGCAAATGCACCGTTTGGTGTTCAAAATCCTTACTATGAGCCAACCGATCTATCTACGGGTCGATTTTGTCCGAGTGCTGCAGCATTTACTGGAGCGCAGGTTCCGGGTACGTCGATCGTTACACTTTTTACCACTCTATCTAGGCTAATTTTATTTTTGTTTCCCATGTGTAGTCACCAGTTGGGTTGTTCCATTTTGTACTCAGTTTGCCATTTTGTCAATTTCTCTATGTACATGCGCGTCTCTGAACCGTTTTCTTTTGCACCTCCAATCACACGGTTACCGAGTTGAACCACATCGATTCACTTGGGTCACTGTGCTATTTATTGCTCGATGCATGCGGACGAAAATCCATTCGTGCCACTGATCTTGCGCGGATATTTGACAGCACAGATGTGTGTTACACCACGATCCCGTTGTATGTTGTATTGCTTTGAAGGCACATGGTACAGCCAGCATGTAGAAAACGCTCGCCCCGCGCACTCATTTGATGTCCGATTGTAAAGTAAGACAATCCTATCATGTAGCCTTCACATTTAAACATACCCTTCAAAACGTGGCTCCTTCTGGAGCTTTTCGTGGTCGTGTCATCTACATACGTTCGCCTCGTTTTCTACGCTGGCCACCCATCGGAGTACTAAACACGTGCCCTTAAATTTGACTTACAGACATGTGTGACCAGTCATGTGACACTTATATAGCCCGGTAGCATCTTTCAGTTATGTGATGACGTCCACGTGCCACACGTCGTTTCCTTGAAATGTGCATCTGGTCGCGGAGTTTTCGCCATGCATCTCCGTGGCGATTTCTCTTGGATTTACTAACGATGATCTGTTCTTATTTCTTCGGCAGGGTGCACGCCCATTTTCTCTCTCGCGCGCGTCTGTCCACTCTTTCGTATACGTCCGTTAATGAATAAACGGGCATCACATACAGTTGGCCCTTTACTGTGTCCTTTTTAACACGCTGAAACGATATTTCTTAAATTCTAACTTCGACGATACCGCAAGAGCGATCCCACAAATTGATCGCAGCCGCGGTGTTATCCCAGATGTATCCGGATCACGCCTCTTGTGGGATTTTTCCCATTCCATTCAGTACTGTCCACTCATATCTGTTGTGTGATCAGAACAATGAATTAGCACATGGTAGGCAGCTATGTCTCACAGATCAGAAGAATTGGAATCGGAATCCGTTATTGGCGAAATCAAGTGTGATGAGCGTACCACGCTTGACATGGAGACGGATGCAGGGAATATGCATACGTCAGGTGTACATGCACTGGGTTAACTTGTTCCAAGCATGGATGGGATGACTCACTGAGAAGCGTACACAAAATCAGACATATCGTCACATGATCGCGTCAGCGATATATGCTCAAGGCCATGGTGCAGGCACAGAAACACTGACGATGTCCGGGAAACAGTGACTATGCGTTCACTCGCCTCGGCGCTATGCTTCTGTCTGCTGAGATGGCGGAGTGACAAAATACCGAGGTTCGGTATTTCTGTTTGGATTGTTGATGAGTAGGAAGATTTTAAATGAAATTTAACTAGTTCGTCCCATCGACTCACATGCACGATACTCTAGACATCAGAGGATCGTTCCACTCCTTGTGGGCTTCGTCAGTGGTGCCTATTCCTTAGGCCTTCTACAGGGAACCGAAACCTTGACTGCTAGTGGCTAGCGCCAAGTAACTGCGCCACGCGGGGCCGGTGGTAGGCCGTTACAGATTGCAAGCTACCTGGGATATAACGCAACGTTTTCCGGATTGGTGTTTCGATTGTCACGGTTGTGAGCTGCCGGAACGAACCAGTTAAATTTCACCTAAAATCCTCCTACTGACCACTACTCTAACCATTCGCCTCCATAGTCCTCAAATGCTTCATCATACACAACTGTTGTGTTGTGGAAATCTTGACCTCTGGAGGTCAACCACTGTCCTCTGCATGGTTGGTAATGTGCATGTCAGCAGTGGAAAATACGTTGAGCTAAACCCTAGTTAACTTGCAAGTTGTGGCGGCTAGTTGGCGCCTGCCGCTAGCGGTCACGGATTCGGTTCCCTTGTAGGGCACCGAAGCCATGCGCACCACTGGCGAGCCCAAATAGGGCGAAACGATCGTCTGGTGTTTTTTCTTATTGATGCTTAGATTGTCTCGCTTATGGGCTTCTAGGACGAATCAGTTAAATATTTCGGGCTATATTCCATCTGAAGCTGTATTGTCTCGTCTATGAGACTAGTGCCTCCCATGTTGGTTAAACCAGGTTTTCCGAGTGCATACTTACCGCGGTATGTATTACTTGCCAATACTACACTTTATTAAGTGAAGCCTGAGGCTTGTTAGCCCCATGAGGTAGCTAAAATGTCACTGGGGAACTTTTCAACACATGACCGCGGAGAACGACGTCATGATCTTCATCTCGGCCCCTATAGTGTATTGTACATGTTAACATGTTTCCAAAACTCGAGCTTTTCGTGTCCATATCGACTCCGAAGTTCATCAGTGAACTGCTGATGAGTTTCGCTGCATGCCATGCTACTGTGTTCAAAAAGAAAGCGAACTTTTGAACTAGCGCGCCAACCGGCAGAGGGCGTATGGTGTGGTTACTGAGGGTACGTAGGGGCTTGTTTAGACAATGAACTGTCATTTGCGTCGTTTCGGTCTGACGGTAAATTCTTATGTCCCCAGCATCCTCAGCGCGCTAGCTCAAAATTTCGCTTTCTTTATGGACACAGAAGTCCACTGAGTAACTGATTTCCAATACATTCGGACATTTTGTTAGGCTATATATATATATATATATATATATATATATATATATATATATATATGCTCCTGTGCTGCCACTGTACAAGGGCAAACGAAACAAACAATGTGCCACAAATTATCGTGGTCTCAACTTGCTGTGTTGTGTGGGCAAGGTGATTGCCCGAATCCTGCCCAACCGCCTCGTCAGTCAGGTTGTAGAACCAATCGTCTCGGAAGAGCAATGTGGATTCCTTTCGGGTCGCAGCATCATGATGTTTCCGACTCGTAAGTTGTTGGCGAAGTGTAGAGAACGACACCAGCCTTTGTACTCGCTTTTTGTTGATTTCACCATGGCATTTGACACAGTGCACCGCGACGCATGGTGGCTGGTGTTTGGTGGATTCGGTTGTCCGAGTAAATTTGTAGGTTTATTTGAATGTCTGCACATTGATATGGTGGACGAGGGTGCAGCTGAGTGGAGAGACCTCGCATGACTTCGCAGTTATCTCTGGTGCGAAACAAGGCTCTGTTGTAGCTCATGCACTGTATAATATATATCTTCATGCAATGATGTCTTGTGCTTTTGATGCGGCTTGTGCTTACGGTGTTCGTGTGAAGCACCGTATTATTGATGGGTTGCTGAACATCTGTCGTTTCGGTGCGAGAACCCTAGTGTGTGAGACAACTATCCGCATGTTGATGTTCGCTGACGACTGTGCGTTGTTTGCACACAACACGGATCAGTTGGAGCACATGACTAGTGCTCTGGCTTCGACAGCGGCCAAATTCGGCTTCACCACCAACACAAGCAAAATTGTCCGTCTTTTTCAGCCTTCACCGAAGGTGCAATCTTCCATATTGCCGCGAATCAGTATTGGTGCTGAAGTATTGGAAACCAACTCCCGCTTCTGCTACCTTGGGAGTGTAATGTCGATTGGCCAGCAGCTACCCAGTGAGCTTCGTATTCGCGTGTCGAAGGCAGCGGCGGCATTCGGGAAGCTAGAGTACCGAGTGTGGAACAATCATCAGCTTACCATTGGCACGAAGCTGATGGTGTACAAATTCATGGTGTTGTCCGTTTTTCTATACGGCAGTGAAACGTGGACGATGTACCGGCGGGATGTGCGATATCACGAGCGGTTCCATCAGCAGTGTTTGCGACGGATTTTGCACATCGGTTGGGGCGACAGAGTTGCGGACACGGAAGTGTTGCGTCGAAGTGGAATACATGCAGTTGACTACATACTTTTGCTGAGACACCCGAGGTGGCTCGGTCATGTGAGCCGTATAGATTCGACGCGGATATCGAAACAATTTTATATGTTCAGCTGAGTATTGGGAAGCGGCATGCGGGGAAACCGAAGCTTCGTTACCAGGACATGATTAAAGTGAGCCTTTCACGTTCTAATCTTGATTGCAGGTCATGGGAATCGAAGGCGGTTGATCGGCGTACATGGCGCGATCTAATCACGTAGGCCTTTGTCGAAGTGCAAGAGAAATCCCTCTTGCATGCAGAGAAGAACTGCGATTGCGGAAGCAACAGGTGCCGATGGGTTGTACTACATCGACATCGAGCGCATGGTGCTGTAGCACATGCGGTTGCGCGTGCCTGAGTCAGAAGGCTTAGTGAGCCATGAGCGAAGCCACTCGATGCCAACACCGAAACGACGACGAGTCCTGCAGAGAAGGTGGGCAGAACCGGCGCAGCGTTTGTAGGTACGCTGCATTCGGTTTACTAACCGCGTGCTTGCATGCTAAGTATCTATTTCAAACTGTGGGTTCGCTCTATTGTCATAATGCTTTTTTATCTCCTATAAATGTCTACTTGTACTATCTTCTAAAAACTTACACACGTCGCTTACGCTAATTGTAGTTAATTTCAGTAACATTTTCGCGTTTGTGGCATTTTCTTAAAGTAAATTTTCTGACGGCTTGAACCTATCGCGGATTTGTTCGTAACCAATTTATTTCATATGCTTATTTAGTGACACCGTATTTGTATACATTAATCGATTTATTTTATTGGTCTCGTCGTTTCAAGTAATTGACTATTGCTTGATATCCCCGGTGTGGCTGCGCTTGATGTGTAGGTTGACAAGGTGCCTACCTGTCTATTACCCACTACCTCGTCCATACTGGCTCCAGGAAACAGTTGACCGTTGCTGGAGGGGACGGGGTGCACGGTCATTGTGACCGTGACATGTTCGAAGAGTGGTTCCATGCACTCAGTGTGGAGCGGACCACGGTCCAGTCACCGCCTTATGTGCCCTTGATTCCAAAATACAGCGTACTTGTGTTTGTCTGTGAAGGAGTGTGGGCCGGCTACGTTGATGAAACGTGGCTCCCATCCACATGCCTTCCGGTCCTATTCTTTTGGGTTTGCACTGTATAAGGGGTG